TTGGAATTTAACTTTATTTTTTTAATAAAAGTATTTTCTAAAATAAAAATAGCCTAAGTTACTCCTTATTACATCAGCTACCTGCCAATAAAAGTCCCGTCAAAATCGGTCCAGCCATTTCAGAGATTAGTCGGAACAAACAGACAGACAGACAAAAATTTTAAAAAATGTTATTTTGGTGTATGTATTCTATTTATATTCATATGCATGTAGTAAAAAAACGGTTATTTCAATATTACAAACAGAAACTCCAATTTTATTTATATGTATACATGTACACCCGTGAAAAACCAGGACGGGATAGCTAGTGAAAATTATAACCTTTTGCGATAGAAATATGTAAAAATTGTTATTTTAATAATATTATGATAAACATTTGGAAAACTCTGTAATGTCTCACACAATTAATTAAGTAATTTACCTAATATACAAAGATATAGAAAATATAGACATTATCTACATAAATATATTTTTATTGCTTCTTATTTTTATATTATCTGTGTTTTCTTCTTTATATCATGTGTAAAATGTAGGGAATAAATTTGTGTAAAAGTTGTAGATGTATAATCGAAAAGGTATGAGCATTAGTGATGGCATGTATAATCATATTTGAAAAGAATACGAGCGGAATTTCTTGTCAGTTCTTCTAATCTCAAAATTCCAAACTGACGGTAGATTTGACATATTATCATAAGAGTCTGTAATAGATCTACATGAATAAAAATATTTTGATTTTGATTTTATTTTATTGTATGAGCATTGATGATAGCATGTATAACCATATTTGAAAAGAATACGAGCGGAATTCCTTGTCAGTTCTTCTCATCTCAAAATTTCGAACTGACGGTAGATTTGACATATTATTATCATAAGAGTCTGTAATAGATCTACATGAATAAAGATATTTTGATTTTATTGTATTGTATGAGCATTGATGATGGCATGTATAATCATATTTGAAAAGAATACGAGCGGAATTCTTAGTCAGTTCTTCTAATCTCAAAATTCCGAACTGACGGTAGATTTGACATATTATTATCATAAGAGTCTGTAATAGACCTACATGAATAAAGATATTTTGATTTTATAGCATTAGGTGTTACTTTACGGAAAGTCTCATTACTTAATGAAAATATATTATTTTATTTACTTCCGCTAGCATGTGTGAGACCACAAATATCTGGTGTGGAAACCTTACCATCGCTGGAACGCACCATTAGAACCAACCTATATGAATACATCATGCGTTGCCATTCCATTGAACTAAGACGTCTTGCCTCTTGTCCCGTATGTTGTTTCGATGATCAACCCCCAATGGGTTGAGTGTTATTTAGACATAGCAGTATTGTTTATTTTATAAACAAATAAATTATTGCGAAATGTCACAACGGGTCGCCGGCCAGCCAACCGCAGCTGTAAATTCCCAATTGTATGTATTTACGATACATGAACATACATTATTCATGTTCATTGAAATATTAAACTGAATTCACGATTTATGAACCGTACGAGGAGCTGTTTTGTGTATTTTATGGAATGTATATAAAATAATAGTTTGTTTGAATTGACGGTAGGGAAAAAAATTATACTGTAAAAACTTGACGTTCATAAGCGGATAAAATGTCCTACATGAATAAATGAAATTTGAATTTGAATATACTTTCATAATTTCTAGTAGCTGCTAAAACAGTAGTATGGTAAAATCACAATTGAACGGTATTTTTATGCGCATACATTTTATATTTAACTAGCTGTTCCCGCGACATCGTCCGCGTGGAATTTAACTTTATTTTTCTAAAATAAAAGTAGCCTAAGTTACTCCTTATTACATCAGCTACCTGCCAATAAAAGTCCCGTCAAAATCGGTCCAGCTATTTCAGAAATTAACCGGAACAAACAATCAGACAGACAGACAAAAATTGAATAAAATGCTTTTTGGTGTATGTACCATATTTATATTCATATGCATGTAGTAAAAAACGGTTATTTCAATATTACAAACAGACGCTCCAATTTTATTTATATGTATAGATTATGTAATTGAAAGTCAAACAGTCAGATGGTAAATGGTCACTGGGGCATTTATAGTCATATAGGTTATACGACTATAAATGCCCCAGAACCAGCGACCATCCAAAATGAGGCAGTATACTAAACCACTAAACCACCGAGGATCGACGATGACTGTTTGAAATTAAATTGAAATAAACGGTATTTAAACTTAATTTAAAATAGTATATTGTTTATTGTTATATTTAAAACTTTGTAGACTGTTCAATTTTAACAAAGTAAATAATATTAACTGTAAATAACTTTAAAATTAGTCGATTAATTGAGATATGACGTGTTACAGACATTTGAAGAGCAAATAACTTTTGCAATAAATTTTTCAATTTAAGTAACCTTACGTAACATGCTAGTGAAACGCCCCGGATTCGCACGAATAATGTTAACAACAAGTAATATGACGAATGTTACTTACATTCAATGCGGGTAGATATAGTCTTTTATAGATGACTCGCTATTACCCGCGGCTTCGCTCGCATTGAATCCATTAAATAACTTCACCAGTAGCTAGCTAGTAGCAAGAATTTGTCAAAATCTTAATATTTTATGTTTTTGGTTTTTATAAAAAATATTTGTTTTTTTTTTTTAAATATATGTTCATTCTAATGCCTCCAAGAACATGTGTACAAAATTTCATGATGATCGCTTCTGTAGTTTTTGCGTGAAAGCCTAACAAACATTCCTACTTTCACATCTGTAATATTATTAAAGATATTTTTCTCTTTTACGGATGACAATGGAATGCTGCACCCACATGTGCTAACGGTTTACGCTGGCAGGGCACCAGTGGAGGATGATAAGATGAGCATGAGGTCAGGTCAGTTAGCACATCGTGACAAATTGACCAAGAATTTGTCACAATGGTTTCCAGGAGGAACCACAAGGAGGTCGACCTGACATGGTACATTGCTATTAGTAACGATTTTGGAATGGTACATCCGTCTGTGCTAACGGTATACTCAAGCGGGGCACCAATGGAGGATAACAGAATGAGCATATAGTCAATATAATAAGCCCATGGTAAATTTACCACGAGTAAAACGGTTTTCCGAGATAACCGAATGGAGGTCAACCTGTTACTAAACAAAACAAACCAAAATAAAATATGTCTGTTCCTAGTAATATCAATGAATCTGGTTAATCTCCATCTGTCAGTGTGTTTGTTGAAGGTGTCCAAGCAAGAAAACCTTTTAACTCATTGCTCAATAGTTTAAAAACAGTACACATTTGGTTCTTTCTCTTTCTTAGTTCTTGCGTTCTTTTCTATTGGCAGACTGTTTTTATTAAACTCATGAAATTATGGTCAAAAAAATTGTGTTACGTAACAATTTGAAATTTCAAACACAGTGCTAATTGTTTATAAACTGAATATAAAATTAATATTTCATAATAACCCCCTTTCCCTCAAGGGATATTGGTTTATTCAATTGTCAAAACACGAACAAAGTTGCGGACGCAGCAACTGCTGTCTCGTAATCAATCATATCTTCCCATCGTTCTATAATGGTAATTTTCCCATACAAAGTCCGGTACTGTTGCATATGTAAAGCTTTTTTATAGCTCATAGCTAGGGTTGTCAAAAAACCAATATTCTCGTATATTTTTTTTATAAAATACTAGCTACTCGCCCCGGCATCGCCTGGGTGTACATGTATTTTATATATAAACCATCCTTTTTTTTTCGGACTACTCTAATGCTGTTGGCCGCAGCTGTCTAGTCACTGGACCAGGAGGCAAGTGCAGATGGTATTCTAAACCCGCCTGATGGATACGATTTTAATCTGAGGGCACCGCTAGGGGTTCGAACCTCGGCTCAGGCCGTCGTAATATCGATCTCCGATCCTCTAGTATCACTCTATCTATTAAAAAACGCTTCATAATCTGTTAGTATAGCGTAGTTTTAAAATTTTAAGCATACATAGGGATGGCCAGTGACGGTGACTTTATTTTATACTGTTTTTATTAATGATAATGATGCTAGCAAGCCCTCCTAATGATGTAAGCTGTAACTATATAGATATACATACATAAAATTCACCAAAGAGATCAAGTAACCATGTGACGAACTGTTAGGCGGCTGACCCCGTTTGGGTTTAAAAAAAAAACCTTTTTAAAACACATCACAAAAGTCACTTGATTTCAGATAGTTTATTTCGAAAATGTGGTTTCACAAGTTATTATATTAACAAACTTATCCCAAACTATGTAGGTGCAAGTGAAATGAGTTATCGACGCGGACTAATGTTACTAACTATCTAAACTGTTTTTATATAACGATGTAAATAAAGGAATTATTCAGGCTCAGCATTTTCTTTGTACTGGGCTCGGGCATAACACCTCCCTCCTTAAGACGAAGGTCATCTCTTGAGATGATCGAAGTTAAAGACGAAATGGGATAAATTTGTTTTACAAAATATGGATAATCATTAATTATAAAGTAAGTCATCAATAAGGATAATGTTATATAACGAAATTACAAAACAATAAAGAATGTTAAAATGAGTTATACAAAATAATGGTTATTAAAACTATAGACAGAGTCAATTCTTATAGATAGTATTCTAGAACAAGTATTAAAAATACAAACTAATATTTAATTATAAAATTCTTTAAACATTACATATCTAAACTTAATTCAATATTGAACTTAAAATATATTAAACTTAATTGTTAAGAATATTTCTGCTAGAGGCTGCCTTGCGTGTAGTGAGGATACCTCTTTGATAGCTCTGATAATCTGGTGCAGACCTTATAGATAACTGGTCGTTTGACATTTCATTCAATTCTATGCTTTGATTTGATTTAGAATCAATAGTTTGAGTACAACAATGATTAAATATTTGTATGCAACAATTATCTGATGCACGTTGTTGATTTCTTTTATTTTTATAAAAACGAAATAATTTATAAATACAGGAGAAAAACATTGTTACAATTAAAATATATGTAAAGGTTGAGTAATAAGAGCCATATTTAATTATGTGAGGTTGATCTTGTATTTTATTGATTTCCTTTTCTAAGTTATCTAATTTATGTGAGGCATGACGAAGAGATTCTAAATTAATATTAGTTAGAGAGATCGGTGATAATAGATGCACGGAGTCATTGAATATGTCACTTTTACAACAATCGTTTAATGTAATAAAAAATAAATAAATTCAAAATTGATTATATATTGTAGAAAATGTGGAACTAGGCGTTAATATGAAATATAGTTTTACAAAAGGCGACACAATTATTTATGTCATCGAAAGAACTGTAACTCAGTCTTTAATTTCGTTACGGCTAAATATGATTTAGTAGGTTGAATTAAAGCAAATGTTGATATTATTAATATTTTGCCATATATCTATGTGTGCATTATATTACATTTATAATTAGAGATAAGAGGCAATTTTAAGTTTACATCAGTAAGTAGTCGATTTTGTTGGATTATATATTGTAGAAAATTAGTTTAGATATGTCGACTATTGTGTGAATATTATTATGTTAAGTTATTACAATCTAATTTTTTATTTATGGAACTGTAACTCAGTTTTCATCCGTTACAGTTAATAAGTTTGGTAGGGACTTATTACAGAAGGATGTAGAATATTAATTTTAGAAAATGGGATGCATTTATAAAATAGAATCAAGGAGATTTGATAATGTTAATGAGAGAGTTGATCTTGTATTTTATTGATTTCCTTTTCTAAGTTATCTAATTTATGTGATTATGACGAATAGATTCTAAATTAATATTAGTTAGAAATCTAATTTTTTATTTATGGAACCGGAGTGTTTTTCCAATTCTGTTAATAAGTTCATGGGACTTATTACAGAAGGATGTAGAATATTAATTTTAGAAAATAGGATAGAATTAAGAATAGAATCAAGGATATTTGATAATGTTAATAGAGAGCTTTCGATTATATTAATGTAGCTATTCAATCTAAATACGTTTTCGAGTGCATTATTATAATTAGAGTAATTTGAGAACATGCTGTTCATTAAATTTATTTGATGATTTAGCTTTTCTTCGTTATCATTGAGTTTATATATAGATGAATTGAAAGCATTTATTGACGATTGGACAACGTGTATGTTATCTTTCATGAGATTGAGTATTTGTGTCTCGTCTTGTTGACATGTTGAGATCGCGGCATCATACTTTCTAGCGTCGTCAGCATCCAGAGTACCGAAAAAGAATTTAAGAATTTCGCCGCCGAACTCAAGTGACCACTTGTTTATTCTGATTGATGAATTAGTAGATACAATATGCGATAAGGATTGAAATTTAATAGCATTTGATCTCAATAAAACTTTAACGGGGTTCAGTATATCGTTACAATCTACGATTTAAGGTTTAAAGAGCTGTGCTCGTATACACACATTAAATGTGTCGTCTACATATTTAGTTAATTATTTTAGACGAGGTTGAATGGATACTATGTCTACGTGGGTTATTATTTTCCAATAGTCATTATAAAAATAAACTGGATTCTGTGCATCGAAGTATATTCCTGGACTATGAATGATTGGGTTTATTACCGCTTCTGTGTGGCAAATTGGAGGCCACAGCCTGAAATAATAAAGAAGAATTTGTTACTTTAAGGATGAGCCGGTTTGATTTCATTTACATGGTACTTTATGTATCTACGCTCTACTGATAACGTCACGTTGTGACTGCCGTTTAGTTTAATTATTTTGTAAGGGCCCTTCCATATTGGTGATAGGGCCTTGCGTAGGCGATGATGGTGTTTTAGGTATACCATATCTCCGATTTTATAATTAGTAATTCGGGATGATCTGTCATAATAATTTTTCGAAGATAGTTTACTTCCCTCTATATATTCTATAGCCTTTTTTCGAGATAGTTTCATGCGATATTGGAGGGCTCTTATATACTCCTGATATGTATTATTATCGTTGGTTTCGTATAACGAACTTGGTATTGAAGGTTTGTGTCCGTAGAGTAGTTCGAATGGTGTAAATTGAGTCGTTGTATGGGGACTGGTATTATAAGCTAGTATAGCTGTGAATAAATAGCAGTGCCAATCATTTTGGTTTTCGTCAACGAAAGACTTTAAGTATTCTTTCAGTGTAGCATGGCTACGTTCAAGGGCACCATTTGTTTGGGGATGATACGGTGTGGAAAATATAGATTTTATTTTACAAATATTGGTAACTTGTTTGAATAGTTCAGATGTAAAGGGAGTGCCTTGATCGGTTAAAATAGTTTTGGGGAATCCGAAGAGGGACATAAAATGTACAAGGTTACCAGCAATTTCTTCTGTAGTGGAGGTAATCATGGGATAAGCACTAGAGAATTTAGTTAAGTCGTCTTGTAAAGTTAGTATGTATTTAAATTTTTGGATACCGGATTCGGGTAGAGTTCCTACTATATCGAGGGCGAGTCTCTCGAAGGGTTTGGTACTAGTGGATGTTATTTCCATTGGAACCTTATTACTGCATCTCAAAGGCTTATTTAGTTGACAGACTTGGCAAGATTTTACAAATTGTTCTATGTCAGATCGCATTGATTTCCAGTAATATTTGTTTTTTATACGATTTAGCATTCTTTTAATGCCGGGGTGCCCAGCAATAGGAGTACCATGATTCTCTTGGAGGATTTTGGAGATTTCGGGCGGAGATGGGTATATGAGCGTGTTTTTATATATATGTATTTTTAAGTTGGTATTATGAAACACGAATGCAATTATATTATAGAAGCTTTATATATTATAGATTTTAGTATAAGATAGTTTAGAAAAAGGTTCAGTGAAATCTGATATAGCAAGTTCAGTGGCACCGATATTTTCGCATAAAATTTCGTCTCTAAGTTTCATTAATAAATTATAAATAATGCGATAAGGAGTTTCCTCATAATGATGAACTTTTGTATATAAGAAATAGTACGTTTTATTATTATATTTAATCGAGTGCACCGTGTGAACTTCGCGTTCAGCTGCTAACACGTCATCGCTGTTCTCTATTTGAGATAATATTTGTCGACAGTATGGCATCGAATTATCAAAATCTAAAGATGTGGGACATGCAATTAAATTTAGTTTAGAAGAATGTAGACTTTCGGAGCGTTCTTCGATTTCAGTATTATTGGAAGTAGAATTTGTAAATTGTAGTTTAAAATATTTTTCGTAAGTATCTTTGTGTAATTTATTTGCAGAATTCAGCGCGTGCATAGGAATTCGAGACAGTGCATCGGCATTGGAATTTAGGCGGCCCTGTTTATATATAATTTCGTAATCGTATTCTTCTAATTTGAGACGCCAGCGAATTAGTCTACTGCCAGGGTCTTTAACATTAAATAACCACACTAGTGGTCGATGGTCTGTAATGACCTTGAACTTATGTCCATATAGATAGGGGCGGAATGTCTTCACACCGAATATAATGGCAAGAAGTTCTTTCTCCGTGTGGAGTAGTTTCCTTCCGCTTTGTTTAAAGTACGGGAAGCGTAAGCAATGGGTTTATCCTGACCTACGATCCCTTGGGATAGAACCGCTCCTACGGCATAGTTGGATGAATCAGTCGTCAATATAAATGGCTCATTAAAATTAGGATACTGGAGCAAGGGTGCGGAAGTGAGTTTTTCTTTTAATAGATTGAAAGCTTGTTCTTGTTCTGTAGTCCAGTGAAATTCGACATCTTTTTTCAATAATAGAGTAAGAGGTTTAGTGATTTTCGAGAAATTTTCTATAAAACGTCGATAATAACCGACTAGGCCAAGGAATGATTTAATCTCCTTAGGATTTTTAGGGGTTGGATAAGTAGTGACAGCCTTGACTTTATCGGGATTCGAGAGATACCTTTATCGGTGATGATATGACCCAAATATGAAACTTCGCGGCGTAAAAACTCGCATTTATCGGGCTGTAATTTCAAATTAAATTGACGGAATCTGTCGAAGACTAACTTTAATTTTTGTATATGTGACTCGAGGTCAAAACTATATAAGATACAGTCGTCTAAATAGATATAACAGTGTAGACCTTGAAGGCCAGAAAGGACGGTATTCATAAGCCGTTGGAAGGTACTGGGTGCGTTTTTCAACCCGAAGGGCATTCGGTTAAATTCAAAATGTCCGGACGTTTTGTTAGTGGTTACTGTAAAACCTGTTTTTTCGGCATCTTCAGGATTTAAAAATATCTGATGAAATCCACTCGCGAGATCTAGCGTTGTAAAATATTTAGAATGACCAAGTTGATCTAATATGTCAGTTATAAGAGGAATTGGATATATTTCATTGACAGTGACGTCATTTAGACGTCTGTAATCGATTACAATTCGCCATTTACGTTTTCCAGAGGCATCTATCTTTTTTGAGACAAACCAGACAGGGGCATTCCAAGGGGAAACCGATGGTTTAATGATATTTTGTTCTAACATTTTTTTTATTTGAGTTTCTACCTCGTCCTTGTGGCATTCGGGGAAGCGGTAAGCTTTAACATGAATAGGGGGAGCATTCCCAGTATTAATAGAATGTTTTAAGGCATTAGTTGCGGTTAGTTTATCGAGGTAAAATATGTCTGCGTATTGTGCGCAGCAATCGAGTAAAATATCTTTTTCTTCGGAATTTAAATGAGTGTGTCTAATCTGACTTAGTACTTTATCTATCCTATCAGAGTAGGTGATGTCAGATGTCTGTATGTTGTAGATATTTGTAGATGATTCTAGAGGTTTAGATAGAGTTTCGTCTAATGGAGTAAGGGAAACAGAGTAGTTTTTTATTTGGATGTCAGATTCAGTGGTATTTAAAATGGAGACATTTACGCGATTGTTAAGTTTAAGTGTTACTATACAATTAGAAACATAGACACCTTCCGAAATAGTATGGTCTAGTACGAGAGCTTCACGTAGATTTGGTAACTGTGATGAGTCATTTGATACAGTGCATTCAATCACGGCTTCGCTTCGCGCCGGTATAATATAGCTCGGTTGTTTGAAATTAATAGGTAGTATTTGTTCTCGTAAACACATAGAGTTAGAATAGTAATCAATATTGACCTTGTAATATCCTAGAAAATCACTGCCGATAATACCGTCATATTCCAGGTTTATATCATTTTTTATTACATGTAATTTGTAGGTAATACTAAGGGAATCGGTTAAAATAAAATCCATTTGAAATGTGCCTAGAGTTTTACAATAGGATTCAGTGTAATTTATACCTTTTAATTTTATAATTTCGCGTGAAAGTTCAGGTTGCTTATTTAGGCTTGATTGTTTGATAATACTGACACTCGCACCGGTGTCGATGAGGAAACATAAAGGTTTATCAGAATAAGTTGATTGTAAATAAGTATGAGGCAAGGTTATTTTATTAATAATTATTTCGTACATGGGTATTGGTTTAGTTTCATCGGAATATTCGTGAGATTTAGTATTACAAATTTGTTTAAGCGAGTCCATATTAGTTAAGTTTTGTGGCCTTGTAATCTCGGAAATAGTTATAGGGTTTTTATTTATTAGATTTTGAGTTTTACTCAGTCTATTGGTGAGGTCAGTGCAAGATTTGGTACTTTCTTTATTTAAATAAGATTCAGATATGGTAGAAGGTTTTGTGTAAGATGTATTAGTCAGAGGATTTGGTAATTTTAATGAGTGTGAATTGGCACAGATTTCAGCGTAGGTTCGTGTACGATTCGATGATATTTGGGGATTAGTATAAGATTCAGAGCGACGCGTAGTATATGAATTTTTACAAAGTTTAGAATTCGTAGGATTCAGTGGTTTTTCAGATTTGTAATGAGATTTCGTATGGGATTCAGTGTATGTAAGATTCAGCGGTTCTTGAGATTTGGTATAGGATTTTGTATAAGGTTCAGCGTTCATAAGATTCTGTGAGTTTTGGGTTTTAGTAAAAGATTTAGTATTTATAAGATTCAGTGGGTTTCGAGGTGTAGTAAAAAATTTAGTATTGATAGGATTCAGTGGTTTTTGAGATGTAGTAAAAGATTTAGTATTTGTAAGATTCAGTGGTTTTTGAGATGTAGTAAAAGGTTTAGTATTTGTAAGATTCAGTGGTTTTTGAGATGTAGTAAAAGATTTAGTATTTGTAAGATTCAGTGGTTTTTTAGATGTAGTAAAAGATTTAGTATTTGTAAGATTCAGTGGTTTTTTAGATGTAGTAAAAGATTTAGTATTTGTAAGATTCAGTGGTTTTTTAGATGTAGTAAAAGATTTAGTATTTGTAAGATTCAGTGGTTTTTGAGATATAGTATAAGATTTAGTAGTGCCCTTGCTATGATAGGAATTCGATCGGCACGGAACCGAAGTCCATTTTAGTTTAAATTTTCACTTGAAGTATTTTCGTTATCGATTTCGCAATAATTAACTGCATTTGTGTTACCGGACACATTCCCACGCGCGGGTCCAGGATAGTGCCTGACACCTGCCTGGGAATCCGTATCGCGTTGCGTTTGGTCTTCATTCTGGCGACGCTGCATATTGTACTGTCTCTTGCGACATTCATTAATGCTGTGGCCTATATGTTTACAATATGCACATGAAATAGGTTTAGGTAAATTATAGCTATTTGAATTATTAACGTGATGAGTTTTGTAAGATGGGGATATCCTGGTATCCCTATTTTTGAAATAGCACTCTGAAACTACATGACCTTGTTTTTTACAATGAGAGCAATATTTAGGCGTTTTGTTGAATGCTCTTGTTAAATTATATAATTTCTCTTCCTCCGTAGCTTGCATAATCGCCTTACCTAGAGTTTTGGGATTCCTACACCGCACAATGTAACTAAAGTTAGGATTAAGACCTAGCATAAATGTATTTAAAGTTAATTCTTCCATAGCAGCCACTCTACCAGGTAACTCGTCGTTGTTAGTACAGGAATAGTATATGTCCGATTGAATTTTTGTTAAACAGGCTTCGATTCGGAGAGAGTACTGAGTTACAGTCTCAGATGGTAATTGTTTACAACCCTGGAGTTCGATTAGTAAATGTGTGGAGTGCTTTTTCTCGCCGAACGTGACCCTTAAGAAATCTTTCAATTCTAACCAGTTTTTAAATGTCTTAAGACTACAAGCCGTTTGGGCTTTGCTTTCTAATTGTGATATTATATACTTGCATAATATATTCTGTTGCTCAGGGGCAGCTAAAGAAATTGCACTCTCACAATTTGTGAGGAAAGCAGGGAGGGACTCACGATCGCCGCTTTAGGCCTTTATGAATTTCGTTAATACGCTCAGTGTCACCCTCTCTGCTTTCTCACTGGCCTCCGATTTAGTGGCCATTTTATAAGGTTATATTAGATAAATGTTTCAGTTATATAGAATCTAGTATTAATAATAGTAATGTTCGGTTTGAATTACGAGATTATCACTAAACTGGCACTTCACTGATATAGACATAATAGTATCACAAAGCACTTACAGGAGGGTTATGATGATTATCATATCTTCTGATCTGGTGACAC